TATTCTAAGTGCAATTTTTATCTCATGACCTGATTATTTCTGAACTGACCTTATGGGATTATGTGTCTTCATTGTAGCATTTTTAGAGTGTGATATACAGGCGGTGGTGTTATGGTCTGCTTGTTAAAGTCTGCAGCTGTTGTCTCCAGAGAGGTTTCATATAGAGTGAAAGTATCTCATTGCAAACAGGACAGAGTCGCCAGGCCAGCCTGAAGTGGGGCACAGACACACAGAGCAACAGTAACCAGCAAAAACAGACTTACTGTATACATGAGGTTTAAAAGTGGAAAGTAATGACATTGTTTAAGGGCAGCGTGTCTTACTCTGTTTATTAGCATCTAACCAACAGCCAGCAACATCTTAAAGTCACCATGAAATCAAAATGGACAATTCTTATTTGTTATGGAACATATATCTGTGCAAATCATAATTTGTTTAAATTCATGCACTTGCGTACATTTTTAATCAGAATAACTTCTTCTCTGATGATGTGGGCGGGGCAACCTGTCACTCACATGAGATCCACCACAACCAACCAATCAATTCCCCACAGACAAACTTAAGCCCCGCCCACATTGTTCTTGTTCCAGAAGCGTTTTACTTGGATATACGTCACAAAAGGGAAGAAAAGACTAGCGTAACTTCTGTTTCATGCCGACTTTAATCATCCATAGGCTCCTTTATGATCTCTCAACATTCAGACAAGGGCCGTGCAGTGACTGTCGAATGAAGAAGCTTACTTTGAGTGCAGATGTGTTAAAAGCATCAGCTTCCTCTCAGTTGTTTCTTCTGAAGTTCTCAAATTAGCAAATGAGTCATTTGTTGACAGCGAGAGAATGGAGCTTTAAAATTAAACATTCGAACTTGGATGAATTTAATGAGAAATGTTTCAGGGTTTCAATTGCAATAATTTAACACATCTGAGCACCGTTTGAGACATTGTTGAGATCTGTTCTGAAATTATAGACGAGGTGTGATATCACTGTGGTCTTTTTCTCATAATAAAATTTTTAGTGCTGCCTATTATAGGAGAAAATATGATAATATAATCAAATAAATGTTTTTTTCTGATGGAATGATTATATTCTAATAAGAATTACAAACAAAATTCGACGTAAAATGTCAAAATGCATTACAGTAATCAGTGTTATTTTTGTATTATTGAGATAGGCCTATATTATAGTTTTTATAGCCTATATTAAAAAAAAACGAGAGCTTCCCGACTTCCTGTTGTCCTAAGAAAAGCCTGTAAACTGAATTTTAAGTGAAAGACTCGGGACGTTTTTGCCGGGAAAATCAAAAAGGATGTGACGGTCACACTTGCTCCTGAGAACCTCTTTTTTTTTCGTTCAGTGACGCATGAAATGAATACAGGATAATCAGATGCAGATGTGATCTGATGCTTTACTTACTGCTGTTTCTCACTTTTTTGTGGTGTTTATTTTGTCATTGAGAGGAAAGCGTGCAGGATATATTTACATATTCATCTAAACGTCAGTAGTGGACAGCGTCGGGAAGTTCATTAACAGTATATCGCCGCAAAGGTATTTCTAACTTCTTTTTACTTCTAAGCAAAGAACGAAAAAGACATTCGCTGTGAGTTTATCAGGGTCTTGAATCACGTTCAGTCTCTTATTCGTCTCTTGCACGAGCGATAAGTGCTGCTGCAGTTCACTTAACGGCCACTGGTGTCGCTAATAACAAGCGTTTCTGAAATCAAGTGTATTTGATTTCAAATAACGATTTTTTTATGACTTTAGATTTAGTTAACTGTATAACACCGATGAGAATATGGGGTGTAATGTGCTTTATTGGCATGAAAATTATATCACAATGCAAAAAAAACAACAACAACAACAAAAAAACGTTTAGGCCAGACATAGCCTATGCCCTATGGTTATGGTTAATAAAGGATTATTAGGAACACCTGTTCAATTTCTCATTAATGCAATTATTTTATCAACCAATCACATGGCAGTTGCTTCAATGCATTTAGGGGTGTGGTCCTGGTCAAGACAATCTCCTGAACTCCAAACTGAATGTCAGAATGGGAAAGAAAGGTGATTTAAGCAATTTTGAGCGTGGCATGGTTGTTGGTGCCAGACGGGCCGGTCTGAGTATTTCACAATCTGCTCAGTTACTGGGATTTTCACACACAACCATTTCTAGGGTTTACAAAGAATGGTGTGAAAAGGGAAAAACATCCAGTATGCGGCAGTCCTGTGGGCGAAAATGCCTTGTTGATGCTAGAGGTCAGAGGAGAATGGGCCGACTGATTCAAGCTGATAGAAGAGCAACTTTGACTGAAATAACAACTCGTTACAACCGAGGTATGCAGCAAAGCATTTGTGAAGCCATAACACGCACAACCTTGAGGCGGATGGGCTACAACAGCAGAAGACCCCACCGGGTACTACTCATCTCCACTACAAATAGGAAAAAGAGGCTACAATTTGCAAGAGCTCACCAAAATTGGACAGTTGAAGACTGGAAAAATGTTGCCTGGTCTGATGAGTCTCGATTTCTGTTGAGACATTCCGATGGTAGAGTCAGAATTTGGCGTAAACAGAATGAGAACATGGATCCATCATGCCTTGTTACCACTGTGCAGGCTGGTGGTGGTGGTGTAATGGTGTGGGGGATGTTTTCTGGGCACACTTTAGGCCCCTTAGTGCCAATTGGGCATCGTTTAAATGCCACGGCCTACCTGAGCATTGTTTCTGACCATGTCCATCCCTTTATGGCCACCATGTACCCATCCTCTGATGGCTACTTCCAGCAGGATAATGCACCATGTCACAAAGCTCGAATCATTTCAAATTGGTTTCTTGAACATGACAATGAGTTCACTGTACTAAAATGGCCCCCACAGTCACCAGATCTCAACCCAATAGAGCATCTTTGGGATGTGGTGGAACGGGAGCTTCGTGCCCTGGATGTGCATCCCACAAATCTCCATCAACTGCAAGATGCTATCCTATCAATATGGGCCAACATTTCTAAAGAATGCTTTCAGCACCTTGTTGAATCAATGCCACGTAGAATTAAGGCAGTTCTGAAGGCGAAAGGGGGTCAAACACAGTATTAGTATGGTGTTCAATCCTTTAGGTGAGTGTATATGCAAAATTATGATTTATTTTCATTCTTTTGATGTTGGGGTGAAATATTACCTACAGAAATATGATTACAGTCAAACATACACATACACTACATACACACACACACATACAAAAAAATACACATGAGAGTAAAGCTGGAGTCCTGTGAAGGTTTGGATCAGTGATTCACAGATGATCTCCTGGTTTAATAAACTGAATGAAGAGATTATAGGGTTATTCAGTCATGGCACACTTTAGAAATGTCTGTAAGGTGGGACATTCCCCGACAGCTGACCCTGAACCAGACACAAGGGAGTCACATGGTTCACTTCCCATGATACAAGCAAATTAGTGTCTCAATCTCTCAATTCTTAATCCTGGTGAGAATTTATTTTACGTTGGTTTGTTAGATTGCTCTCCACAGAAAAAGATCCCATTTGGGTCAGATTGGTTTTCTTCTAAAGGACACAGCAAGTCAAAAATACTGAGGAAGAAAATATTTTTGTAGTGTATTAATAAGGAACAGCATCTGAGACGCAGTTAAACCTTGCCTGAAACATAACTGAGGACTCATGAGATATGAACGAGCAAACCCCGAGCTCCTCCTTTCAGCTCATGCTTTGCCTAATACGTCCATAACACGGATCCCGGGCGTCAGACTGTGATCACGGCTATTCTTGTGCGAAAGACTGACAGCAACCATTGGACCAAATTAATGAGGCGGGACTCTCATCACTTCTAATTAGAAACCACACTAAAAACTATTTTTGGCCTCTGTTCCTACGGGGAGAATTCAAGCCTCCCAGCCGGACAATATCACAGAACAAATATAGACCGACTCAGGGTCGAGTGTGTGACATTTTCTCATATTTGAATACATATTAAGCGTTATATATTACAAAATAGACTTTTTTCATGTTCTTAAAATGTAAGTGCAATTTATTTCTTTATTTTAGTATTTATTCATATTTTGAATTACCTATTATTTTTATATTTAATTTTAGTTTTAATATTTTTTTATGTGTTTTTTCCCCCATTTTTTTGTTAGTTTGTCTTAAAATGTTTCCATTGAGCTTTAATCTTTTGGTTTTTGTTTTAGTAATTTTAGTAGGCCTACATCATTTAATACATTTATTTCAGTTAGTATATAAATTATACAAGATTCAACTCATTTTTTAAAAGTCAGTTTAATGAAATTTAAGTTGAAACGACTTAAACATCCAAGTTGATTGTGTTGATTTTGCTCCATATATATATATATATATAGGCTACTTTTTTTAAAAGTCCTTTTTAAAAGTAACTTTTTTTCCAGTGATATATATATATATATATATATATATATATATATATATATATATATATATATATATATATATATAAAATATTATTTTACTTTTTAAATTCAAGGTTTTGACAAATCTAATATTCATCTAATATAAAATAATATCTAATAGTCATCTAATATTTATCACAATGCAACAAAATGTTAATGGTCCTAAAACAGGCCTATATATACGAATATATGCAAAACTTCTAGTACTTCAACTTCAACTTAATTTAGTTTTCAACTTTTCTAATTTGTTTTTAAGTTAAGTTTTTCATCTGATATTTGTGTTCTATTTTACTTCAGCTTCATTTCAAATACAGCAAAATGTTTTTTTAATAGTTTTATCTTTAGTTTTGAGTAACAATAACAGCTCTGACTCAGAGTAGATTTTAGAGCATTGCTATGCACATGCTTAAGTGTTGTGGCTGGTTGCCAGGGTGTTGCTATGCGATTGCTATGGTGTTTTTTTTAAATCATGTTGCTGGGTGGATACACAGAGTTATAGAGTTACAAATATACTTACAGTGATGCAACCATAGTCGAGCAACCATAAACACTAAATAAGTCATTCAGAATCGTTTCTTTTTTGTCGTTTATTTCCAAACCCCACATTACAAAATAACAGTGTTTTGAACTCTGACATTTAAAGAGAGCTCTTGGCTTACAGGAAGACACTTTACCAAAGCAGGTCATGCAAAAACATTGTGGAAGGCCTCCAGCGTCATAGCACCTTTGTGGGAAAAATAATAATAATAATATAAAAAAAAGAAAAAAAATGTTTTTTTGTTTTTTTTTAAGTCAGTGCAAAAATATAAACAATGCATAGAAATCCATTAGCAAATATGTGTACCGTCTGCGGCTGCAAAATGGGATGAGCGCAACCGGAGAGTTTTTGCCCTTTAAATCCTTGAGGCGGATTCAGATGCTCCGGGTCGATCGCACAAACACAGTGAGACACCAGTGACATGAAACCAGCGCTTCAACACAAACACACCTTTCGCATCAGCTGAACACCAAAGGAACAGAATCTGCACCTTTTACAAAATATACAGGAAAGCATAAAATATTACAAATGTGCTTTGCATTCGTTTTTTTTCATTCAACATGTTCATTCAATGATCTTGTTGAGTTATTGGAGACTGAAACTGCAGGAGGAAAGAAAGGGGAAAAGAAGGATGTTTTCTGAGATTTACACAGTGTCTGATCTACTGGTTTGAATGCAACCATGTTTATTTAGTTTATTTAGTTAGATTAACAAGTATGCTGGCTGGGCTTTTATAATTTATAATAATAATAATAATAATAATAAAGACTGCTTTCATTGATTCTGAGGATCTCTGGTAACTATTTCAAGTTAAGTCAATGTGTGTGTGAGTGTGAGAGTGTGTGTGTGTGTGCGCGCGTGTGTGTGTGTATATATATATATATATATATATATATATATATAGTTGTATATATAAAAAAGTTGTACTACTTCTAAAAGCAGCAATAAGCTATTTGTTAAGAAGTGCAAGAGGTTTGTGTAAAGCTGAAAAATTAAAACTGTATTTTTTAGAAAAGCCCATGAGTTTGACGGCTTGACAGGGTGCAGGTAAAGAAGAATGATGAACTGTTCTCGTGCATTTTGACATTTTTACAAGCCCAGAGTTTTGTTATTTCACAGCGTTTGAGTTGAGAAAATAATAAGGTACTGTCCAACACTGTCCCGCTTCAAAACCACACATAACTGTGATAAAAAAATCAACCTTTTGCCTTTTCTAGCACATTTAAACCTCACAGAAACATCCTTGCGCTACAGAGAATTTAAGAAGAGTTTAAAGCCGTTTAAAGTCACAGAATATGAGTTAAGGCACCGATAGAGGCACAATTCTTACTGACGGCTGACGTGTGTGTGTGTGTGTGTGTGTGTGTGTGTGTGTGTGTGTGTGTGTGTGCGCAAACATCAAGCGTTCGGATTTTACACCGTTCACAGTGAATCATCCAAGCCGAAAAACATACAAATACATACAAGCATAATATACTGTTCTCATGTGTTCTCAAACACACACTTACAGAAGCGGAAGTACAAATATGAAAGTGCAACGGTGACTTAAAAAAAGCAAATAGGAATATTAAAATCATTTACTCACTCTCATGTCATTTAATCACTCGTTTAATCTTCAAGCAACTGGTTTAATCTATACTTGGATGATGATATACTAGTAATATACTTCTTGTCCAAATGGCTGTAGTAATCATGCAATCCTTATTTTGAAAGGACATTCAAATTAGGTTTGTTCTGATTGTCAGCGATAATAAAGACATTAATGCTCACACGTTTAAAGTTGGTGACTAGAGATGCATGATATATCGGTATCGGCCGATATATGATCATTTTTTATGTTATCGTTATCGGCCCGATAAGAACATTTGGCTGATATATTAAAGCTGATAAATAATGTATTATTTCCTTCAGCTGAGACACTTCAGATGCGACTGTTCAACATGATGGGTTTGAATTGCATGAAATATGATTGGAATCACTTCAAAAAAGGAAAATAGAGTAAAGTGCAACATGTGCAGCGCAAAATCTGTCATATATCATCTACATAAAATTATAATGAGAACTATAATTGTGTTTGGGCCATGGCTTTTAATGATGAGACTTTTGTTTTTGTAATCAGGCTCTCAAAAATTATATGAAAATTTGGATTTAGATTTATCGGCCAATATATCGGTTATCGGCTTTGAAATATAAATAATTATCGGTTATCGGCTTTAAATATAAATAATTATCGGTTATCGGCTTTCCATTATACAGAATTCTCGGTTATCGGCTTTTAAATAAAGAATTATCGGTTATCGGCTTTCAAATATAAAGAATTATCGGTTATCGGCTTTTAAATATTAAGAATTATCGGTTATCGGCTTTTAAATATAAAGAATTATCGGTTATCGGCTTTTAATTATAAATAATTATCGGTTATCGGCTTTTAAATATAAAGAATTATCGGTTATCGGCCTTTAATTATAAATAATTATCGGTTATCGGCTTTTAATTATAAATAATTATCGGTTATCGGCTTTTAAATATAAAGAATTATCGGTTATCGGTATCGGCCAAAATGTTCATATCGGTGCATCCCTACTGGTGACTATTTTAAATGTCATAAAGAAGAAAATCAGTGCATCGCGTCATCTAAACTGACCTTAAATGAAAAGATCCGTGACAAAAACACAAAAGAAGCACGTCTAACCAGGTGGGCCGGAAGTCTCGGTATCGTATCGTTATATACACATCATCACACACCCGGTTGTTGATTATTGCACAGTGCTGTAATCGCGCTCCTGTATAAAAATAGATTTAGAAGAATGATACAAGCCTTGATTTCCCAGACTCCTCTGGGGGCTTTAGCCAGCACCAGTGGCCAAGAGCCATCACAAGTGACCGCAACACAGTGTTTGGCTGAACACTCACAGGACGGGTCGTTCTCCTCATGCAAGTCTCCAAATCCTCGTCCAAGAGAGTGTCTAAAATGGCAACGAGAGCATATTCCATGTGGGAATTGGAGATCTTATACGACGGTCTCGACGCCGGTGAGTTTGGGCGTAAGTATACGTGGAGTAACACCGTTATTCAGGTCTTCTTCAAACTCTAAAAGCTGACCCATGAAGTTGAGGTTTGGCGAGATGATGGGCCGCCGGGATTTGACGAACTTGTAGGCGTCAGTCATGGTCATCCAGGTGTGTTTCATCAGGTATGCGATGACGATGGTGGCGGACCGAGACACACCGGCCTGGCAGTGGATGAGGAGTCCTCGACCGGCCTGATGAGCCTCTTCTGTGGACAGAAAACACACCAGAATGAGCTTGAGCAGAGATCAACACATTAAACATGATGATGGAGCTGTTGTGTCGAACAGTTTAAAGAAAAAGCCAGAAATATTTAAATTACTAAACCATTTGTCAAGTCACTAATGCCTCTGCTCACTAAAGTCTCCTTTTTACGTTTTACATATATATATATGTGTGTGTGTACATATTAGTTTGTGAAACAAGGGAAAATTTACATTTTTATTATAATTTATTTAGTTAATATAATGTAATGATTAATTCTATATAATGTGTTATATATATATATATATATAATTATACATAAATTATAACTATTATTTTTATACTTAATTAAATAAAAATTATTTTAAAAAAATGTATTATAAATATGTATTATATATTAATTATCTTATTTATAATATGTATAAATATAAGTAAAATGTATGTTTAATGTTTTATTATAATTATATTATATTATTTAATTGTAATATTTAATTAGAACTTAATGTATATAAATTGTAGATAAATATATAATAAAATAAAAGTATAGTTACAGATAATTATAATGCTTTTAATTATAATGTTTTAATATAATATTTTATTATAATTATATTATGTAATTTATTAGTAATTAAATATATATAAATTCAAATTTTCAATTTGAAAGCATATTATGTTTAATAATTGTGCATAGTTTGTGATTTAAATGCTATATATATATATATATATATATATATATATATACACACACATACATACACACACACACACACATATATCATATATTGAGGCTTATTAGTCTTTGTCTTAAAAGAAAAGGCTTGATTTTGTTCCAGTAGAGTTTAATTCCTCTTTCTCCTGTTGACTTTGGGGCTGAAATATAACCCGAACATGTCCTCGTCAGGTGTCATGAGATTGCCCCGCTCTTCTCTTTATCTTCATACCTATGAACTCGAAAGCCTCCTCGAAGTACTGCCGCAGGTTCTGCTTGTTGCTGTCGGTGGCGGGGAAGCGCTTGTAGTTGAAGAGGCCGAGCTCGTAGTGGAAGAGCGGCAGGTGTGTGGTGACGTTCAGGATGAACCCGATGTCCATGCGCTGCATCTGCTCCAGGTCTTGAGCGTCGCGTTCGTTGCCCAGGTAAAGGAAGGGCAGGATGGCCGTCAGCTCCGCATTCTCGATGTCAGGTGTGGAGGGCAGGGAATGAGGTAGCGCCCCCGATAGGCCCATCGCGGTACTGCCGTCCGGTCCTTCCTCCAGGTGAAGCGAGTGTTCGCACAGATCATCGTGGTTCTGCCGGAACCCGGAAAGGCCTCCTATAAGAGACCAATACAAAAACATTCATTACTTTAAAGATGCAGTCTGTAAGAATGGCAGCTAGTGGTCGAAATCGGTACTGCAGTCCAAATTCAAAATATCAGAGATCGTTGTTTCCTCCTCCTCAGACTCAACACTCACGCGGGTTGCCAGCAACAGAAACGAGCGCAATTGACAATGAAAGCCGAGGAGCCTTACTAGAGTAAGTTAATGAGTTGATTTATCTGCGTTTCTTGTTCATAGATATTTTTAGATGGATATCGAGGCTTTTTAGGTTGTGTGTAATCTGCAATCTCTGCCCAGTTTGTTTGCTCGTTTCCATGGCTGCAATACGCTGCGTTTCCTGCCAACTGGCATCGAAATACTATTGGCTGAACTGGCAGTGGGCGGAGACACACAGATCAAAACAACAACAACAGACTGACAACACCAAACATGTAAAATAATAAGTAAAATAACTGGCTGTAGAAGTGTTTTTCAGAGAAACGAGTATGTGAAGCATGTTTCCTAAATATCTGCAAACATATGGTATTTTTATGCTTTAGTAGAGTAAAAAAAGTTACATACAGCACCTTTAAAGGGGTGGTTGATTATGATTTCACTTTCTTAACTTTAGTTAGTGTGTAATGTTGCTGTTTGAGCGTAAACAACATATGAAAAGTTACAATGCTTAAAGTTGGGAGATTAAAGCAAAGGGAGATATTCGCTTTTGCAGAAATCGGTTTTTAAGGACTACAACAAACGGCTGGTAAGGACTACAATGAGCTTCCTCCCGGTTAGTGACATCACAAACACTAACATTTACAAAACCCCGCCCCCAGAACGCATTTATAGATTATCATGACAGAATATGCTAATCAATGACTAGAAGATAACTACACATCAGCAACATAAATTCATCAACTAACCATTCAGAAATGTTGCTTCTACATGTTGTCACTTCTTCTTGAGTCTTTCCATCATTGTCCGACTCCGGTTTGAACCTAAAAGGCTAAAAGTTTCCGATATTTTTAGTGTGTGTCTGTGTGAGGTAATCGGAGCTGCTAACACACACACACACACACACACCTTGCTCCTTGTTTTACATCTTGTGAAAAGGGCATTATACGACCCCTTTATTTTATTTGGGTTCACAATAACATAAAATACAAACATCACTGCACAACAAAGAAAGAACCTAAAACTATAGTTGATATCAAAATTAAATCTCCTTGCAGAAGCATGACACTTTAATTAGCTTATTATAGTGTTTAAATGAACATTTCTGTCCTTCATTTATTTTGAATGTACAGTAGCAACAGTCTATAAAAGTCTAGGCAGTTGTGTGTTCATTTTCTCATCATAAGAGACGTGTCCTGTTTTTGAGGTCAGGTGACACACACACACACACAAAAAAAATTTGCGTGCAATTTGCATTTCAGGTTGAATAAATTCCAGATCGTGTGACAGATCTGTCTTATTTGCATGGATGATTAATAGTATCTCCTGAGACCAGTCAGTGCTTATCACATGTTATATTAGGTCATAAATTCACATTTAAGAAACATGGATAAAAATATGACTTTGCGCATATATATACACAGTATATTATATCAAGTATTATTGTTATTATTATAAATATATAATATCACATAATATAATATCTCTATTTCCATTTTATTATATAATCTCTATAATTTACATTTAGCAGTTTTATACAAAGTGAAAATTATTTAAAACATTATTAATTATAATAAATATTATATAATTATATTTACGTTATATACTTAATATTATATTATTTAATTAGGATATTATTACATATAAATTATTTATAATATTGCTATACAACAAAAATACAACATTATATATTATTATTAGACATTTCAGATAATAATTTGTATATAATAATTGTGTTTTTTATAACAATCTAATTTAATCTCCATTTCCATTTTATAATATTTAATAATGAGATAAAAAATATTAATCATAATATTACTTTATACTATAGAATACAACATTATATATCATTATTTTAGGTATTATTTAGTATTATTATACAAGTATATAATATAACATAATATAATATCTCTATTTCCATTTTATAATATAAATTTCTATAATTTGCATTTACAAGACGCTTTACCCAAAGCGATTATTAATGAAAAATGAAAAATTCTACTTTATATTATATAATTATAACTACATTATATAATTAATATTATAGTATTTAATTATAATATTATTAAATATAAATGATGATGTTGCTATACAATATAAAACACAACAATAAATATTATTATATTAGGTATAATAAATTATAATTAGTATAATCTTATTTTATGATATATTATAATTTAAAAGTTATGTTATGAGCTTCCATACTGGCTGGAAACCCCTGAGCTCTCAGCAAACAACGGCTGTAACACCGACGACAAAGAACAAACATCAGCAAACACGCTTTAATAAATGTTTAACCTGTCACACTGGACATCTGCGCTTCCTCCGGTCACAGACGCCGATGAACAAAGTGTGAAGTTATAGTCTGTTAAATTTCAGTTAGTCAAATGTGAAACCTGTCGCACCTGTTAACCTGCCTCTCATTCATCCTCCTCCTCATCTTCCTCATCAACTGAGACTGAAGGGGGTTCCTGCGTTGACACAATCTCTCATGAACTACACGCATGGAAAGCACCTTCAACGCTTGTTCATTTTTAGAAACCCACTGATATCCTTTCTAAAAGAGGCAGACTGAGTTTCTAAGACTCAAATCTTTCAAAACCTCTAAAAAAATTCTGCCTGGAAAAGGAAGTTGGCAAGTCTGTACAAGTGATATTCCTCAATGTCAATGTCACTTTTATTTTATTTTTTATTTTTTTATTTAACCTTTATTTAACCAGATGATCTCATTGAGATTTAAAACCTACACACAATAACAGTGCACAGTTACAAATACGAACACCAAGCACACGCACAACAACAAGGAACATTTAAACAAGATCCTCAAGATACATAAACAAACTTAAAAAAATGTATATAGCACTATTAAAACAACACGTTGACCAATGTTTGTGCTTATAATAGTAATACAATAAAAACAATAATACAAATGATCACCATGGCAAACAAATGTCTTAAGTTGTATTTTAACGTACGGCTAAGCTATTCCAATACTTAAGCTATATCATTAGCTATAATGTAATATTTAAAGAAGTACTTCACCACTGACAAAATGGGCTTTCAATAAAACTTGTCTGCCTATACAGTAGAAAGGTGAAAAAAAGTTAAATCGGTGCTACTTGACTGAAGAAAACAAGGAAAAAAATGTTGTTTTCACTTTTACTATATAGGTAAGAAAACTTCAACACCCATAATGCACTGGGCATGGACACGCCCACCAGTCTGCTATGGATACGCACCGCTTGACCAGAGTCTAATTCGCCTTATTGCCTGGCTGCGAGTTGTGACCCCTTTTGCGCCGACGTCACAGTTGCGTCACGGCGCTAGCTGGAGGCAAAACAAAGGGAAAACTGGAGGCGGCCAATACAAACCAGCACAGATTCGGCTACATAATAAGGAGCTTAAATTATTATTATTATTATTATTAAATGTCATCTTGTTGTGTTGTTGGGTGCAAGAATCAATGAAAAATGAATATGCTGTATCAGAAATTGTTATTTCTAGAAAATATTCACATCATTAACATCGCACCGTAATGTCACTCTTTACATTGTCGTCTTCTCGGCGCTGGCTAGGCCTCTCTATCGGATAGGTGTAGAAGTCAGGCCACTCAACCGAAGGTAGCGTTACCGTTAATCCTGTCAGATCGTCCATCCATTGAGCGTGTACAGGACGGGTCAGCCAATCTGGTTCCGTCCGTTAAAATTAACTTTTGCAAATAACAATTGCGGTCCTGGACACTGAGTGACCTTGCACATTAAGATAAAATCGTATTTTCTCCAGTCATTGTAAAAAAACAAGCTAACAAAACTTGCAAACTAGCGTTAGTGAAGCGGCCAGAGGGATCGTTCTGCCTCCACCTAAGCTCCGCCCACAAAAAAACATCACCATGTTTACCAACTGAAAAGGAGTCTATACTGCCTTGCTTTAGTAGGAAATACTTCTTAGCAAACTTTTAGTTATAATGGTGTCGACTTGCGTTGTTCACAGGTGCAAGATTTTAACGAGTAAACGTTTAGCGGGAGCGAGTTACTTTCGGTGTCGCTGAAGGATCCAGAGCGTTGTAGACAGCGTGTTTCTGTGTTTACTCACTTTGCTGGGGAAGTTCGTGTAAGACAAATCTGCGCGGATTTAGCGCAAATACGCAACTCGTGAGTCCTCATGATATATTAAATGCAGCGTATCGCAGAATCTGCGCATTTCTGGCTTCCTTGAACACACACACACACACGCACACGTCACTACGCAGCAAATAACGGCGCGCTTGTTCACTTGCATTGAAGTAATAGCGAATATTAAAAAGCATTTGGTTAACAGAAAAGACATTGTTATTTTCCAGCATCCTACATGTTCTGTGTGCTGTATTGATCTATCCACCTAAAACACATTTTTGGTTAAAAAGAAAAAGGCCGTTAAAATCGATTCCCTATTTTCGTTTTCGAAACTTGTGTTGGTTAGTCAAGTGACAGCCCTACCGGTTATATCAGCAGGGAAAGAAATCACATGTGTATATTAGATGTGTATTAAAGCAGCATAATATAATATACAGTAGCTACTGCCATACATGCTGTTAAAATGAATCAAACAACAAAAGAAAAAGCTGTTAAATGCTCCGGCGAGGAGATAAACATGGAGGACTGTGTACAGCTCACTGAGGGGCGGGGCTTATGCTAATAGGGCGGAGTCTGTCAGCTGTCGTGGGCGGGGCCTGTGCAATGTGACGTCACTGCTTATGCTTATGAATAACAAACGGGTGGAAGGGATTTGACCACAATATGGTGGTTTTGTTCACACACTTCAGACATAAATATGTTCAAAAACTATTAAAAAGTAATTTTTA